AATCTGAGGTCACAGCGCTGTTAAATCCTACTTTGTCTCATGATTTCGAATTTTTTTTCAAAGTTTGTCGGCCTGTGTAATTTAACTCGAAAATATGAAACATTATTATCTATACCCTCTATAACATTAATATTAACACTGCCTTACCGTGATATTTAGCTATTCAACTTTGATTGTTGTCTTCCATAACCCTAACCGTATTTAGCAAAGACAGCAACCGTCGAAATGTAATAAGTGGTGAACTAAAACAGAGTTGAATACAGCTGAGACATGGTCTTACAAACTGCGCCATCTGGCATAGTCAGTGTAAAATTAAACAAATAAAAAGTGTCTTTGATAAGTGTACATTTAATTTTTTAATGAAACATAGATGGCGCAATATAACATATTATTGAGAATTCAAAATCTCGAACAAAAAATAAATTGTTCGTCGAAAATTAATTTTAAATTTGTTTAATTTATATGAAAATACTGTTCTGATTATTTCACTAAAATAAAATATTCTCAAAATCCCCTAATTGTCCCACTCTGTATATGTGATCCCCAAAAAATAGAGCAATAATTATAAAAAATGCCCTAATCATTCCCCACTAAAATCTGTCCCCAAATATAACTTGAAATCCCCAATTTGGAGACAAATCCCTACATATGGCGACACTGCGTTTTAAAAACATTGTCTACCAATGTGGCAGTATAAAAGAAAACACAACCTAGTGGCAACTTATTTATTTTAGCCAAAAGAAGTAAAAGGCCAAAAGAAGAAAAAGAAGTGTAATAAATGTGTGCCACTCTGCACAATTAGTTACTTAAAGTACAAAAGGAGAAGAATAATTAAAATAAAACCTATTTTAGAGAAATTTTGTTGTACAAAAAAAATGAAAATCGTCAGCATACAAATAACTGTGATAGTGATATTATTAAATTTTTTAAATTTATCTAATGGTAAGTACGAAAAAAGAAATTATTGAATATAATCTTGTAAACTAAACAAAAAACAAGTATGTGTCTTGAAGTCTTTTGTTTTTGTTACACACAAATACCCAGTAAGACAAATTGGAAGAAAAATTAAAAATGAAGGTGTTATAATTTATAAGACATAAAATAAATGTATTTTTCTTTTTGCTATGAAACATTTGTTCAAGTATTTTTTTCTTTACTTTGTGATTGGTAAAAGAAACTTCGCTTTGTTAAACTGTGTTAATTTTTATGAATCATTTAATGTTGTTGATTGTTTTTTCTCTTGTTTCTTTAAGTTTCATAATTAATTTCACTTTTCATTTAAACCGTAAAGTAAATATGTAATTAACCACAAGAATTTTAATTTTCAAACTTGTTTGTGTGTGGAAAATCTAAGGTGTGCTTGTTGAGATTTTAACTAAAATGTCACCTTTTTTGAATATTTTTTTTTTTTTGCGAATCATAAATGTCAGGGTTTAATTTTTTAGCAAATATTTGTGCTAAACAAAACGAGCATTACTTGTTTATTTTGTTGTTGTTGTTTTTTTTAAATTTTAATGTTTAATATTATAATTTGCACATTGTTGTTGTTTAACTTATACAGCTTTGTTGAGAAGATGTTATTCTTGTCGTTCACGTGGTGAACTGGGCAGTTGTAAAGATCCTTTTCATTTCAATGCCACCGATGTTGAAAGTGAACCGGGTCTGGCGGCCATACCCTGTGCTTCCGGCTGGTGTGGCAAAGTTATTGAGGGCGGCGGTACCTATGCTACAGATGGTGAGTAATTTTTTTTAGTATAGAAATTTGGGAATAGAACTAAATTAAAACAAAATTAGTACATTTTAGGTTTTAAAGACTAGACTATAGGCTAGACTATAGACTAGACTATAGACTAGACTATAGACTAGACTATAGACTAGACTATAGACTAGACTATAGACTAGACTATAGACTAGACTATAGACTAGACTATAGACTAGACTATAGACTAGACTATAGACTAGACTATAGACTAGACTATAGACTAGACTATAGACTAGACTATAGACTAGACTATAGACTAGACTATAGACTAGACTATATACTAGACTATAGACTAGACTATAGACAAGACTATAGACTAGACTATAGACTAGACTAGACTACAGACTAGACTATAGACTAGACTAGACTACAGACTAGACTATAGACTAGACTATAGACTAGACTATAGACTAGACTATAGACTAGACTATAGACTAGACTATAGACCAGACTATAGACTAGACTATAGACTAGACTATAGACTAGACTATAGACTAGACTATAGACTAGACTATAGACTAGACTATAGACTAGACTATAGACTAGACTATAGACTAGACTATAGACTAGACTATAGACTAGACTATAGACTAGACTATAGACTAGACTATAGACTAGATATAGACTAGACTATAGACTAGACTATAGACTAGACTATAGACTAGACTATAGACTAGACTATAGACTAGACTATAGACTAGACTATAGACTAGACTATAGACTAGACTATAGACTAGACTATAGACTAGACTATAGACTAGACTATAGACTAGACTATAGACTAGACTATAGACTAGACTATAGACTAGACTATAGACTAGACTATAGACTAGACTATAGACTAGACTATAGACTAGACTATAGACTAGACTATAGACTAGACTATAGACTAGACTATAGACTAGACTATATACTAGACTATAGACTAGACTATAGACAAGACTATAGACTAGACTATAGACTAGACTAGACTACAGACTAGACTATAGACTAGACTACAGACTAGACTATAGACTAGACTATAGACTAGACTATAGACTAGACTATAGACTAGACTATAGACCAGACTATAGACTAGACTATAGACCAGACTATAGACTATACTACTATAGACTAGACTATAGACTAGATATAGACTAGACTATAGACTAGACTATAGACTAGACTATAGACTAGACTATAGACTAGACTATAGACTAGACTATAGACTAGACTATAGACTAGACTATAGACTAGACTATAGACTAGACTATAGACTAGACTATAGACTAGACTATAACTAGACTATAGACTAGACTATAGACTAGACTATAGACTAGACTATAGACTAGACTATAGACTAGACTATAGACTAGACTATAGACTAGACTATAGACTAGACTATAGACTAGACTATAGACTAGACTATAGACTAGACTATAGACTAGACTATAGACTAGACTATAGACTAGACTATAGACTAGACTATAGACTAGACTATAGACTAGACTATAGACTAGACTATAGACTAGACTAGACTAGACTATAGACTAGACTATAGACTAGACTATAGACTAGACTATAGACTAGACTATAGACTAGACTATAGACTAGACTATAGACTAGACTATAGACTAGACTATAGACTAGACTATAGACTAGACTATAGACTAGACTATAGACTAGACTATAGACTAGACTATAGACTAGACTATAGACTAGACTATAGACTAGACTATAGACTAGACTATAGACTAGATTATAGACTAGACTATAGACTAGACTATAGACTAGACTATAGACTAGACTATAGACTAGACTATAGACTAGACTATAGACTAGACTATAGACTAGACTATAGACTAGACTATAGACTAGACTATAGACTAGACTATAGACTAGACTATAGACTAGACTATAGACTAGACTATAGACTAGACTATAGACTAGACTATAGACTAGACTATAGACTAGACTATAGACTAGACTATAGACAAGACTATAGACTAGACTATAGACTAGACTATAGACTAGACTATAGACTAGTCTATAGACTAGACTATTGACTAGACTATACTATTGACTAGACTAGACTATTGACTAGACTATACTATTGACTAGACTATACTATAGACTAGACTGTAGACTAGAGTATAGACTAGACTATAGACTAGACTATAGACTAGACTATAAACTAGAGTATAGACTAGACTATAGACTAGACTATAGACTAGACTATAGACTAGACTAGACTAGACTAGACTAGACTAGACTAGACTAAACTAAACTTTGGACTAGACTTTAGACTAGACTAAACTATAGACTAGACTTTAGACTAGACTATATACTAGACTATAGACTAGATTATATACTGGACTATAGACTAGACTGTAGACTAGACTATAGACTGGACTATAGACTCGACTATAGACTCGACTATAGACTCGACTATAGACTAGTCTTACTGCTGTTATGTCACCATTAATTAAATTATCTTAATCCTTTAATGGCAAAAAGTTGTCATTCAGATTTTGAATCCTTTAAAACGTTCAAATATGTTTCAAAGGTACCGGTCAATACTGGTAGCAGCCAATATTGATCTATATTGATATAAAATTATGTAAAATTGAAGTTAATTTTCCTTTCTTAGAGGATGCCATTTGATATCTAACAAGAAATTTAGTACATTAAAGCTCAATTTCTCTATCGACATGAATTTTCAATACGAAAGCTTTTTGATCGCGTATGCGGTAATTCAAATCAGATCCCTACTACTAACCTACTGGAGACACACGATACTAGTTCTAAAACTGGATTTAATTATCTCCTTTAAACTATTTAATGATTTTTTCGAATTTCCCTCATTTTCAGATTACGATCAAGCCATACAACGTATGTGTGTACAACGTGGCCCTGATGACAATCAAGATCGCTGTGCCAATACCGTCTACAATTACAAAAAAGTCTACATGTGCTTCTGTCAAGGTGACTTGTGCAATGGCAGTGAAACAATAAATCAATTACAATTTAAGAAAATCATAACAATTGGTGCAATATTAACAATTTTACATAGATTTTTGTAAATAATGTTAAAATAAAATTTTATAAATAAATGATTAAGTCCCTGAAACCCGTATATTATTCATTAACTTAAAGTAAAGTTTAAGTACCTTAAGAAAATGTTTATAATAATATTTTAAATGAATTATATCAAACAATTTTTGTATTTTTATTAAAATGAAATTTAAATGTTTTATTTAAAAAAGGAAAAAAAAAACACTTTTCATATTTTATTAAAAAACAAAAAAGATTTAGGGCCTTTTATTCATAACAATTTATCAATGGTTTATAATTCTATTTTTTTATATTAAATTTGTTCTATAAACCTTTGATAAATTGTTATGAATAAGGCAGTAATAAGACAACTTAAAATCTAAAAAAAATTAATAAAGATTAGTTGATAAACATGATAAATTAACATTGTTTTTTAAGCATTTAATAGATGAATTTAAAAGAACTTGGGGTTAAACTAAAACTAAGAAAAAACAATATGGTATTAAAGGATTCAAAACTTAATTAACAATCACAATTAAACGTTTTACAGTTTAATGGGTTGTTTCTAGATAAAGTACAAATTTAACTTGTATTTTGTTATTGTAACAAAAACAAAATACAAAATTTTAACTCAATCTACTCACATGGTATCTAGAAACAACATATAAGATTTACATATTTTGTAAATTTTATAATTGATACAATAAAACTATTTAATTCTGAAAGAACTTAACAACTATAAAATAATAGTGTTATTTAAAAAAACTTAATATTCTACAAATTATTATTGTTGCTATAAACCACAAGTTTATAAACAGCAATTTACAATTAGTATGACATCATCATCTTCTACATAATTTCATCGACGTCATAGATCATATTTTCAATGGCAGATGATTGAGAGGTAGATGTTGTTTCAGTTTTAAAAGAATTGACAATTTTAAAAATATTATTCATTTGTATTTTATAGGATTTGCCAGTACGTTGTAAAATTTCATTACGATCTTTCTCTTTAGCCAATTGTAATTCCAAATCTTGGGCACAACTTTGTAATCTACGGTGTATTATAAGTTCTGTAGAGAAAAAAAAAAACGAATTAATAAAATTTATTTTACAATTTTCTTTTACCACTTTCAAAAAACATACCTTCTTTAATGGCCTTATCATGTTTACGTTTACAGCCTGGACATTTTTTCAAATCATTTAAGTTTTCTTTAGGATCTTCTACAATCATAACATCATCGTCTTCACGATGACATTGTGGATGATAATATAATTTACATTCTTCACATTGTTCTAGATTCGTACCGGTTTTTAAGCATTCATTACATGAACGTTTTTCATCGGGTGAACTAGAGGTCGAACGTGAGGGTGGTGCTGAATTTGTTTCAGACACATTATCGGCACTACGTCTTTTAGTACGTTTTGCTGGCAAGGCTTTTTTAACCTGAGGTGATAGAAGAAAGTTTTTGCGTTTCTTTTTATTATCTGGTTCAGTTTGTGTGGTGGCAGGAAGATGCTGTTTGGAAGAGAAAGAAAAAATATTAATGAGACTTGCTGTTAACCACTTATAAAAGTTCAAGAAGTCTTTCTGTATTTCCCATAACTCACCTCAAGTCTGCCATAATGATAACTATTATTCTGTACACAACGTCTGCGTCGCTTTGAACGTCTCTGCTGCAATTGAGCATGTATTTCGGGTGTAAATAAATCGAATAATCTCAAAAACATTTCTTGACCATATTCTTCGGCTTTAGTACGAGTCTCTTCAAATTCATCGGGCCAATAATTATGTGGAGGAGTATGTCCACGTTCCGGGGTACCTTCCTCAGATGAAGAACTTCTTTCGGGTGATTTTTGGGCACCAGATGAAGCTGTATTGACAGCAGCTGCAGCGGCGGCAGCAACAGCAGCACGTGTAGCTCTAGTTCTACCCACATTAGATTTCTTAACAACTTCCGCTGAAGCTGCTACTGCTACTGCTACCGGTGCTACTGGTGGTGGCGGTGGTGGTGGTGCTGGTATAGAGGCAGCAATAGGTCCTCTTACTTGAGCTTGAGCACGCTTTAAAGCTTGTCTCAAATTCATACGACTCATTTTAACATTTGTGGATACTGGCAACTCAATGGTCTTCTCCTTTTCCTCTTTTTTCTGTTGATAAAGATCACCCAAAGTTTTGACCGGCTTAATAATATTAGGCTTAACATCCACCGCCATCAATTCCTGTGCCATTCTTTGATTAATCAATTTCTCCTCCTTTTTTCGCTTATAAAGATCACCCAAAGTTTTTACCGGTTTATTAAGATTGGGCTTAACATCCAAAGTCATCAAATCATTAGTCATTCTTTGATTAAAAGGTTTCAACAATGACGGCTGAGCAGCCATATTGGCCTGTAAATTTTTCAATAAACTTTCACCCATTAAGCCTCCTACTCCTCCTACATTAATCAAATGCTCTTTTCTATTACCAAAACGGCTATGACCATAAGCTTTACTAAATTTCTGCTCCACCATCTTAGACTCCTCATCATCATCTAACTCTATAATTTCCATATTATCATAAACCGGTTCAGGTTTTGTATCCTTTTGAACTTCAAAATATTTCTCTATCAATTTCTCCTCTGTGTTACGTATGATCACAGTTGTCGGTATAATTTCCAAAGTGGGATCATTAATTAAGGGCACAAGTTCTTTGGAGACAAAGGCATTAGTGGTATTGGAATCTGTGGGTATGTCATTTTTCTTTAACATTTTCATAAACTCATCTATAATACGCCTAAGACGTAAGAAGAGAAAATTCTGTTCGGCATTAATTTCATAAATTTCACCTTCCAACTCATCCAGTATACGTTTCTTTTGTTGAGGATCCTGCAAAGAAAGAAAAAAAAGGTTGAATTAAAAAAGTTGTTTAAAATAAAGAAATCATTTTATAGTTTAAGTTAAGTCTCGAAATTTTCGTTTTATCAATAAAAATTTTTGAAATTTTCTGTTTTCAAAAAAAAATTTTGAAATTTTCTGTTTTCAATAGCAAATTTTGAACATTTTCTGTTTTCTATAGAAAATTTTCAAATTTTTTCTGTTTTCAATAGAAAATTTTTAAAATTTTTCTGTTTTCAATAGAAAATTTTTAAAATTTTTCTGTTTTCAATAGAAAATTTTCAAAACTTTTCTGTTTTCAATAGAAAATTTTCAAAATTTTTCTGTTTTCAATAGAAAATTTTCAAAATTTTCTGTTTTCAAAATTTTCTGTTTTCAAAATTTTCTGTTTTCAATAGAAAATTTTCAAAATTTTTCTGTTTTCAATAGAAAATTTTCAAAATTTTCCTGTTTTCAATAGAAAATTTTCAAAATTTTTCTGTTTTCAATAGAAAATTATCAAAATTTTTCTGTTTTCAAAGGAAAATTTTCAAAATTTTTCTGTTTTCAGTAGAAAATTTTCAAAATTTTTCTGTTTTCAGTAGAAAATTTTCAAAATTTTTCTGTTTTCAGTAGAAAATTTTCAAAATTTTTCTGTTTTCAATAGAAAATTTTCAAAATTTTTCTGTTTTCAATAGAAAATTTTCAAAATTTTTCTGTTTTCAGTAGAAAATTTTCAAAATTTTTTTGTTTTCAAAGAAAATTTTCTGTTTTCAATAGAACATTTTTAAATAGAAAATACTGTTTTTAATAGAAAATTTTTAAAATTTTTCAATAGAAAATTTTCAAAATTTTTCTGTTTTCAATAGAAAATTATCAAAATTTTTCTGTTTTCAAAGGAAAATTTTCAAAATTTTTCTGTTTTCAGTAGAAAATTTTCAAAATTTTTCTGTTTTCAATAGAAAATTTTCAAAATTTTTCTGTTTTCAGTAGAAAATTTTCAAAATTTTTTTGTTTTCAAAGAAAATTTTCTGTTTTCAATAGAACATTTTTAAATAGAAAATACTGTTTTTAATAGAAAATTTTTAAAATTTTTCTGTTTTCAATAGAAAATTTTCAAAATTTTTCTGTTTTTAATAGAAAATTTTCAAAATTTTTCTGTTTTCAGTAGAAAATTTTCAAAATTTTTCTGTTTTCAATAGAAAATTTTCAAAATTTTTCTGTTTTCAATAGAACATTTTCTGTTTTCAATAGAAAATTTTCAAAATGTTTCTGTTTTCAATGGAAAATTTTCAAAATTTTTCTGTTTTCAATGGAAAATTTTCAAAATTTTTGAAAATTTCTGTTTTCGATAGAAAATTTCTGTTTTCAACAAAAAAATTTTGAAAATTTCTGTTTTCAATAGAAAGTTTTCTAAATTTTCATAGAAAATTTTTCGAAATTTTCTGTTTTCATTACAAAATTTCGAAAAATTTGTTGTTTTCAATAGAAAATGTTTTGAAATGTGTTCTTTTTTATAGAAAAACCTTTCTTCTTTATAGAAAAAATTCTCTTTTTTATAGAAAATTTTTGACATTTTCTCCTTTTATAGAAAATTTTAAAAGAATTTCCTTTTTTATAGAAAATTTAAATGAAATCTGCGTGGTCCAATCAGGTACATGACAATTTCGGAATTCATATTTCTAATTCCAAGATTAAAAGTTTTATTAGTTACGTGAATTCTAAGAAACATTTGGATTTGTTCAATTCTAAAATCTCAACCGAAGGTATAATTAGATTTTTTGTAATACCAAAACTAAATCTATTGGGTTTCTAATTACCTGCATGTGTGCAGTATAAACAAATAAACAACAACAAAAATCTTCAACATATTTTGTATACACAAATTGTCACATCTGTCCATGGAGATGAGAGACAAATAAATAAATAAAAAACAACAAATATAAATCTATAAAAGTGAAAAAATACAACACTGAGTAGAAATGAGGAAGAGAATACTTTTATAAAGTAAATAAATAAATTTACGTTACAAAAACATAAGTACGTACAAGATACATAATATAAATTATATACATACTATATACATCACCATGTACTAATGTTTATTTATGTTTAAAAGATAACCATTATAAACTTCTTACAATATAAAAGACATTATTAAATTATAAATAATTTGTTTTTTTGATTTACGCATAATTAAACTATATAAAAGGGAATAAACAATTATAATTTATTTCCTTTAAATTAATTAAACACTTTCTTTGTACAAGTAGCAGTATGACAAAAACATTAAAAAAATTGTATATAAAATACAAAACTACCTTCATAAACAATGACTAAAAAATACTGAAATATAAAAATAAATTAAATAAAATGACTACAAAATATATAACGACCTTAAACAATAAACAAAGCAACAATAACAAATAAAACAATCAACTAACCAACAAACCGACCGACCATCATATACTATATAAAACTACATTTAAGAAGAAAATGGCGTTAAAATACAAAAAGTTGTAGCTAAACGTACATAAAGAAATGCAATTGATTTAAAGAAAACTTTATAGATTTTTCAAGTCCAATAACAGTCTTATATGTTATTGATTTTTTAGCTTAAATTATATTGATTTTATAAATTTATTTGGTTTGTATCAAACGGCCATATTGTTAAAATACATAACCTCAAATTACGGTGTTTATGCAAAATCTACATACAAACACATATTTGTACATACAAAATTCCAACCAGTGTGTATGTACATTAACCCAGTGAAATGTTTTAAAGCTAAGTAATTGCAGTTTTTTTTTTAACACTCTCTAGCAAAATGTGGGATTTTCCATTAGGTTTATTATGTTGGAAATTTCTGGAACAAATTTCCCAAGAATTCTCTAATTTTTTGTATATTTCTTCAAAATTTTGAAAATATTCGACAATTTCTGATTTCAATAGAAAATTTTCGAAATTTTTGTGTTTTCAATAGAAAATTTTCGAAATTTTTGTGTTTTCAATAGAAGATTTTCGAAATTTTTCTGTTTTCAGTAGAAAATTTTAGAAATTTTCCGTTTTCAATGGAAAATTTTCGAAATTTTCTGTTTTCAATAGAAATTTTCTGTTTTCAATAGAAAATTTTCGAAATTTTCTGTTTTCAGTAGAAAATTTTCGAAATTTTCTGTTTTCAGTAGAAAATTTTCGAAATTTTCTGTTTTCAGTAGAAAATTTTCGAAATTTTCTGTTTTCAATAGATTTTCGAAATTTTCTGTTTTCAGTAGAAAATTTTCGAAATTTTCTGTTTTCAGTAGAAAATTTTCGAAATTTTCTGTTTTCAGTAGAAAATTTTCGAAATTTTCTGTTTTCAGTAGAAAATTTTCGAAATTTTCTGTTTTCAGTAGAAAATTTTTGAAATTTTCTGTTTTCAGTAGAAAATTTTCGAAATTTTCTGTTTTCAGTAGAAAATTTTCGAAATTTTCTGTTTTCAATAGAAAATTTTCGAAATTTTCTGTTTTCAATAGAAAATTTTCGAAATTTTCTGTTTTCAATAGAAAATTTTCGAAATTTTCTGTTTTCAATAGAAAATTTTCGAAATTTTCTGTTTTCAGTAAAAAATTTTCGAAATTTTCTGTTTTCAAAAGAAAATTTTCGAAATTTTCTGTTTTCAATAAAGAATTTTCGAAATTTTCTGTTTTCAAAACAAAATTTTCGAAATTTTTTGTTTTCAATAGAAAATTTTCGAAATTTTCTGTTTTCAATAGAAAATTTTCGAAATTTTCTTTTTTCAATACCAATTTTCGAAATTTTCTGTTCTGTATACAGAATTCAAAATATCTGTTTCAATAAAAAATTTTGAAAATAGGAATTTCCAATTAAAAATTGTGAAAATTTTTCTTTTTTTTAAAGAAAATTTTTTAAATTTTCTATTTTCATAGAAAACGTTCGAAAATTTTAAAATTTTATATTTTTAATAGAAAATTTCAAAACTGACTAATTAACCAGAAAACTTTCCTTCCATTCAGAAAAAAATTTCGAAGAACCATTTTCTTTATAGCAAATTTTCGTACATTTCTTTATTGATAAAAATAAATATTTCGCTGGGTTATTTCCATAATACAAACTAAGGCAGAGATGTAGAAAAATCATTTGTTTTGTTTAAGTATATACTACTCTGTGTATGTACTATTATTGTTCTGTTTATTTTAGAAAATATTGATAAAATAAATGTTGATTCTTATATTTATATCAAATAAAAGAGAAGTTGCATAGTAATAGAATTTTTGTTCTTTTGCTGTATAATTGAGTGGTATGCATTCATCTACTTTATACTTTTAAAAAAATATTTCAGATTATGATGATGATGACTCAGTGGATATATTAATTAATTTTAAGTTTAATTAATAATGGTTTTTATAAGTATTACTTGCTAATAAAAAAAATTTCAATAGTGAATGTTTGTTATGACATAACTAACATATAATTCTTTCGATCAAGAAATATTCATGTTGAATAATAATAAGGATAAGGATAATAAATATATTATAATCCTTACATCTTTTATCATTAAAATTATCTATTTTGCAGAATACTAACATACATAATTGTCTTCTTTTTGAACAAATTGTTTAGGATCAAGTTTTACAAATCATTATTAATTCCGAGGGCGTATTAAGTTTGGCAGTACTTTATTATACGTGTAACGTAATAAGTTTATATAATCCAACTTATGACGAAAGAACTGTATGTATAACAAAGTAGTAGTACTTTTTATTTCATTAAAATTTGGTATTTTCCCTTAATGCATTTTTGAAAGAATTGCAATTTCAATATCTTGTGAACGCATTTATACAATTGTAGCAAAAAGTATAATTAAATTTTATTATTATGAATATCTTATACTGAGAACCATTTTAAAGACTACAATTTATTTCGTAATACCCTAGATTCAAATTTTAGAGACAGTTGAAATACATAATTGTAAAAGTTCAAAGCTTGTGTTGTGCCAAATATTCCACTTTTATTAAATTAATCTATCAGTTGATCATACATATATCAGTCAAGTTTTTTTGTATACGTCATCGTAATTTTACTTATCATATAAAATTTTAGCCAATTTTGGAACACTTTCAATGTTTTTTTACTTGCAATATTGATTTTATAAGAGCTTACCAACAATTATTAAATTTTCATAAACAAGACTCTGCATAGGAGTCAAATTTAAGGAAGTTTGTTGAATTAGGAAATACAAGGAAACTATTAGTAGTTTTTGTAAGACCACTTTGGTTGGAACAAAAGAATTATAAAGTTGCTTTATCAAATTATAAATGATCCAAGCGTGTCTCTTGGAATTTGTTTTACACGAAACTTAGTTTCATATAAATTTAAAAAAATATTACAGCTGAACAAGAACAGAACTAGAACTGAAATAGAGTTGAACTAGAACTGAACTAGAACTGAAATAGAACTGAACTAGAACTGAACTAGAACTGAACTAGAACTGAACTAGAACTGAACTAGAACTGAACTAGAACTGAACTAGAACTGAACTAGAACTGAACTAGAACTGAACTAGAACTGAACTAGAACTGAACTAGAACTGAACTAGAACTGAACTAGAACTGAACTAGAACTGAACTAGAACTGAACTAGAACTGAACTAGAACCGAACTAGAACTGAACTAGAACTGAACTAGAACTAGAACTGAACTAGAACTGAACTATAACTAAACTAGAACTAAAATAGAACTGAAATAGAACAGAACTGAACTAAAATTGAACTAGAACTGAGCTAGAACTGAACTAGAACTGAACTAGAACTGAACTAGAACTGAACTAGAACTGAACTAGAACTGAACTAGAACTGAACTAGAACTGAACTAGAACTGAACTAGAACTGAACTAGAACTGAACTAGAACTGAACTAGAACTGAACTAGAACTGAACTAGAACTGAACTAGAACTGAACTAGAACTGAACTAGAACTGAACTAGAACTGAACTAGAACTGAACTAGAACTGAACTAGAACTGAACTAGAACTGAACTAGAACTGAACTAGACTGAACTAGAACTGAACTAGAACTGAACTAGAACTGAACTAGAACTGAACTAGAACTGAACTAGAACTGAACTAGAACTGAACTAGAACTGAACTAGAACTGAACTAGAACTGAACTAGAACTGAACTAGAACTGAACTAGAACTGAACTAGAACTGAACTAGAACTGAACTAGAACTGAACTAGAACTGAACTAGAACTGAACTAGAACTGAAATAGAACTGAATAGAACTGAACTAGAACTGAACTAGAACTGAACTAGAACTGAACTAGAACTGAACTAGAACTGAACTAGAACTGAACTAGAACTGAACTAGAACTGAACTAGAACTGAACTAGAACTGAACTGGAACTGAACTAGTACTGAACGAGAACTGAACTATTATTGAACCAATCATTTTCCAAGAACTATACTTTGAAGATAATATTACTGTCTAATAAATAAAGATCACAATGATTCCATAGTATGTCCAATAATAGTATGTATAATAAAAAAAACTTGTAATTTCTGCCTAAAACCTGTTAATCTACATGTGTTTTTAATATTTTTATTAAAATATTAAATAAAGAATTGCAGCTTGCATTTAATTGAAAATTATAAAATTTTATAAAAATCCTTTAATACTTTGAATTTTTCAAAATATTTTTTTAGTTTTAACAAAACGTTAAAGTTATGTTTGTATGTATACAATTTTCAACCTAACCTAAATTTGCTACACACTATTTATTTACATATAACATTTTTATACAAGTAGACAACAACAAGAAATTATTTGTTATTTAATTTGTTAATTTGTTTATGCACAAAGTATTTGTTTTTTTAATTTCAAGAAAAAGAAGAAAATTTATTAAAAAAAATGTTATACAACAACATTTTACTTAAAATTATTAATAAAATGCAACAAAATCATAGCCAACAACAATAAAATATTACTTATAGGTATTCTATGAGTAAACTAATTTTGGAATAAAACAATTAAATCAAATATTTTGTAATCTTGTGTTTTTTCACGAAAACTTATTAACACCTATTTAACTAGCAATTCTAAGGGTTGAAGTCTATAATTAAATTTTTATAGAAAGCGAACGAAATCATAAGCTGCCATTTAAAAAATAAACACACACATTTTGTGCCCATGATGATGATGTGACGTTGTAGGTTTGTTTCTTTTTTTCTACAATACAAGAACAAAGACTTTTTGGAGCAATATTTTAAACTAAAGTCATGTAAGGACATTTTAATTAAGACAAAAACTTTTAACTATATCTTAAACAATAGTTATTTAATAATGAAGATTGTTAATAAATGAAAGTGAAAGTGCTTAAAAAAAGAAATACCTATCTATTAAACAAAAGAAAAAAGTTAAATGTAGCACATGAGGGCTAGAGAAAAAAATCAAACAGAATAGAAAAAAACGTGTAAGAAATTATTTAGATTAGATTTGGAAACCATTAGTTCATAAATATTAAAAAAAATATTAACTATTTAACTTTTCCTAAAAAATAATAGTGTTTTTACTTACTGCATCGGGCTGTTGTTGAAAAACATCCAAAACCATCTGAAAAAGAAAGACAAATATAAAGAAAATATGGTTTTAATATAATATTTAATTAAATTTTATTAAGTTTTAATAACTAAATCTATAGATGACCAATGTACAAATGTTTTACTTTTTTTCATTTCAATTTTATTAACAAGTTTGCAAATTGTTCCATTATCTAGTATTATGTGTATAAATGAGTGTGTCTGTTCAACTAAGGTCACAAGCAAAAACAGACTAAGTCGTGAAAGGTAGGTAATGGTTTAAGTTTATCTATATATTCTTTAAACAATTTCTACTAGACCATTTCTTTAAACAAATTTTTCAAAAAGTTATTGATAGAAATCTATTAAATACTCTGTATCAATTACATCAAATTCTGTTTTAAAATAAGTAATTTCTCTTGGAAAGTTTAATTTTCAATTTAGGTTATTATTGCTTGCCTTCATAGACTAGATGGTCAGCAGGTGTATGTGTGCGTTGGTTTTGTAAGTTTCGATTTCTTATATTATTTCAATTGACTAAATGACTGATTGAATTTGTCTCGGTGACTTATTTCTCTATTCACACTCACCTGATGAACCTTGATGTGAGCCTTCAAAGCTCTTTGGCAATAGATTATATCATGGCTAATGTCTTTGGGTATTTTAAAGAAACTTTCCAAATAAAATTGAAACAAACGATGATTATCAGTCATTTCACGGGATGCCAAACTCATGGTCGTACTAGTAGTAGAACTTGCAATAATGGGAGCCGTTGAAGATGACATGCTGCAATTGTCTTCTTACTAGTGCTGCTGGCTGTTGGCTTTTTTTCGTATTAATTTAGCAAGAAATTAGATTTTAACTATTTCTCCAGTATTTTAGTTGTTATCAGCTTATTTTTAAACTATGCTGTTGTCTAATTTAAGATATTATTTGCTTAAATTAAACACAATTTAAAAAATTGTTTTGTCACTTTAATATTTTTAAAAATGTTGTAATTCCCAATACTTTTCAGGAACTCCTCTAATAAAACGTTGTGTTTCCTCCAAATTTTTTTCAACAAATGTGGAGTAAGTACTAAATTGCAAGTAAGACGATGAAAAAATTGTATGTTCTTTTTGAAATTATGAACAAAAATTACATTCCTCTTGTGGAAAAAATTAGTTGTGCTCTTTTCTCTTTCGCTTATTCTCCCAAAAAACAACAAAAACCCATTCATTCATACAAATTTTTTGACAGTTCACTTATAAAAATAAAACAACAACAAACAGCAACAAAGCGCGCTAGTTTGTAAAAACGTTTGAAAGTAATTTGAATTAAACTTTAAAGTATCTTCTCAACGCTTCCAATGTTCCATTTATAATTACTCCCTCCTTTCTTTATTAATTTTAATATTTTCTTTTAAACAAACTCTTTAAAAATCACTTTATTTTGTTAATTTAAAAATTGCTTGCTGCTTGTTCTTATTTAATGTTTTGTTTTATTTTGTAACGTTGCATTTATTTGACACTTGCTTATTTTTTTCTTTTGTGTTGTTTAATGTCACACTGCCCGCCATTTACTGACAATCCAATAGCAATTTCTCTACCACTTTACTTAACTATTAATTACATCAGGTAATTAATTTGCAAATTTTATTACGGTTAATCCATCAGGTAATGTTTATTTTAAAAATTAAAGGTAATAAGATAGGAAAATATTAAAAATAAATTAGCGTCTGTGAAAATTAGGCAGTTCATAAACTTGGCACCACTTAAGAGATTAGTTAATAGGTAGCGAGCTACCATATCTTATGAAAAATCATATGGTAAGAAATACACTTGAAAAAATAGAATGGCGTCTTACTTGAAAATGTTTTAACTCTCTTTTGTAGTTGTAAATGTATGCAATTAAATAGATAGATATATAGATAGATAGATAGATAGATAGATAGATAGATAGATAGATAGATAGATAGATAGATAGATAGATAGATAGATAGATAGATAGATAGATAGATAGATAGATAGATAGATAGATAGATAGATAGATAGATAGATAGATAGATAGATAGATAGATAGATAGATAGATAGATAGATAGATAGATAGATAGATAGAGATAGATAGATAGATATATAGAAGATAGATAGAAGATAGGATAGATGATAGATGATAGATAGATAGATAGATAGATAGATCGATTAGATAGAAGATAGATAGATAGCTAGATAATAGATAGATATATAGATGATAGATAGATAATAAGTAGAAGATAGATAGATATATGATAGATAGATAATAGATAGTAGATAGATAGATGATAGATAGATAGATAGATGAATAATAGATGTGAAAATAGTTTAGCATTAACATTAAAGGGTAATTTAATGCATTAAATGCATTAACATTAAATATTTTTAATTTATGGCATTTAATTTACGTTAACATTAAATATTTGTTGAAATTAATGCATTAATTTTGCATTAACATTAAATATTTTTGACTTTAATGCATAATTTTCCATTAATATATAAAAAAATTTATAAAAATAAGGAATACAGCGCTAAAGACCTCGGTCTAACTAAATTCAAGTAAAATTGAATGTGTTAAAGTCCTTTCTAATAAGTCCTATACTCGATAATACATATTAGAAGAATATTATCACTTCCCAGATATTCCATTTTTAGTTTATTTTGTTAAAGTCCTTTCTAATAATTCCTTTACTCGATAATACATATTAGAAGAATAGTATCACTTCCCAGATATTCCTTTTTTAGTTTATTTTGTCTGTGGAATCTTATATAAATATCATATTTAAAACACACAAGTTTGAATGGAATATAGGAGTTATTAGAAAGGACTTTAACCTATTTAATTTTAGTTGTATTTAGTTAGATCGAGGTCTTTTGTGCTGTATTTTTATTTATGTTTATCAATTTTTATATATATTAATGTTAATGGAATATTAATGCATTCATTTTATTGCTTATTTAATGTTAATGTAAAATTAATGCACTAAATTCAGATATATTTAATGTTAATGCAAAATTAATGCTTTAATTTCAAAAATATTTAATGTTAATGTAAAATTAATGCATTAAATTCAAAAATATTTAATGTTAATGGAAATTTAATGCATTAAATTTTACAAATTTAATTTTAATGCAATATTTTTTACATTAAATTAATTTTATTTTAATTTAATGTTAATGCAAAATTAATGGAAATCGCCCAGGTTTCAACAAATGAACCCTAGTTTTATATAGAATTCTTTGTTTTTGTTGAGTTTTCAAAAGAAAATCTTGATTTGTATGATTTTTTGGTAAAATCTTTGATGACTCTTAAAAAAGTCGTCTTTGATAACTTTTAATTAATATAAACCATTGTCTACGATTTCACTCAATGTGTCGATGTGTTTAAAGAAATAAATAGAACCATTAAAATCTGAATAATTCACTCGGTAAGTATATTTTATTAATGAAAAAGTGTAAAAATATTTTTCTAATAAGTTTTTGTCTGGCAACACGACACTACACTATCCCAAAAAAAGTGCTACCAATTTTTGCAAATGTCACCTAAACACTGACAGCTGTTAAATTTTCTCACAGGCCGCACTGACATTTCGCATTTTGGAGAACCGTAGCAGCCAAGGGTTTTTCATAGAATTTCCATAGGAATTTAACTGGAAACGCTCCCACAGACTTAAATAAATTAACAGGTAAATAAAAATCCAGCTTAAAAACTCCCGGAAAATCCACAGAATTATTGGCTAAAGAGTTATTTAACTAAAGCAAGTGAACAAATGTATGAAACTGTTATGTTTTGTTGTTTGGTCATAACCTACAAAGTTACATAATGGAAAAAATACGAGGATTTTTTTGGAAAAACTGAAATATTTTTAGTGTTTTTTACATAATAAGCATAATAATAATGTGAAATTTATAATTTTTTAGTTAATCATGTCTTTCGCTAAGAATGCTCGTATGTTGGCTACCCGTGGTGCCCGTTTCGTTCAAACCCGTGGTTATGCTGACGAGATGAAACTTACCTTTGCTGCCGCCAACAAGACTTTCTACGATAATGCCGAAGTACGTCAAGTCGATGTGCCCTCATTCTCTGGCAGCTTTGGTATCTTGGCCAAGCATGTACCAACTTTGGGTAAGTTTTAATCCTCAAAAATTTGGGGGAGCAATAGTTAATATTGTTTTAATCTGTATTGGAGATTAATTAGAGTTTTGTGGTTCATGTAGAGATTTATATAAAAGTTTTTTAAAGAATACTTTCGACTAGATTTATATGGAAAACTTTTGCAAAGAAACAAAACCGCGTCTTTGGTGTTTGTACAACAGTTTTCTATAGATAAATTGTCTTTGGTGAGTTTTTTTTTTAATAGAGAACTTTGTCAACTGGCATTTTTCTATAGAAATCGTTCATTGATTAGAATTCTACAGAAAAATTACCTTTGATGTGTTTTTTTGGAGAAAGCTTTGGCTTCTATGAATTTTCTACAGAAAAATGTTAGTTGATTAGTTTTCTTATAGAAAACTTTGACTTTGATGAGCTTTCTTAAAAAAATCTTTATATCTATTCGATGTGTTTCTATAGAAAACACTGTTTATGATGTTTTTTCTACAGAATACTTTGTCTTCCACGAGTTCTCTGTAATCTTTATCCTTTTTATATAAAACTTGTCCGAGTTTCTCCTAGAAACCATTGTCTTCAATGAGTTTTCTTTATAAAACTTGATCTTGATCTTGAAAACGTTATTTGTATTAAGTTTTCAATAAAAAAAACTTTGCTTTTGAGCAATTTTGTAAAACTATTTCATTTTGTTTCAGTTTACCATGAAAAAGTTATTCTTTAATCTGATTTTTATAGACAACTTTTCTCCAATCAGTTTTCTAAAAAGAAAAGAAAATTTTATTACAAAAACATTAATACTAATTGTGCTTTATTACATTACTAAAGCTGTCTTGAAACCCGGCGTTGTCCAAGTATACGAAGCTGATGGCAAGACCTCCAAATACTTCGTATCCAGCGGTACCATCTCCGTCAATGAAGATTCTTCCGTACAAGTTTTGGCCGAAGAAGCTCACAATGTTGCCGACATCGATGTAGCTGAAGCTCGTCAATTGTTGTCCCAATACCAATCAGCTCTTAGCTCTGCCTCCTCTGATTTGGTAAGTTTTTAATGAAACAAGTTGTAAAACATACATTTAATTATAATTTAAATATTTATTTTATTACAGGCTAAAGCTGAAGCTGCCATTGCCATTGAAGCTTGTGAAGCTCTTGTCAAAGCTGCCGAATAGATTTTCTTTCTAACTTTTGTTTAAGTCTAAAAAACAATCAAACAAAACACAACTCGTATAAATGCAACATCTTTAAAATTCCGTTAAAAACTTAATAAATTATTTAAGTGTAATAAAAATAAAAAAGGTTTTTAAAAAACCTCTTTAAAATTCTATACATCTTTGAATTTATAAAGCTGAAGTAAAGAGAGAATGAACGAGTTGTAAGAGAACTAATTTTAGCTCTTTATTTGTTGTTGAGTAATGAAAAGATGTATGAAATTATTAAACGTTTGGTATGATTATGAAATAATAAAACAAACACAAACCAAAACAAAATATAACATAAATACTAAAAAACAATCTTGGTTTTTAACTATAATTATCATTAGCATATGTTTTATCTACTTTTTGTACATAATTTTTTTGAAACTTGGTATTTTTTTATCAGGTTTAACAGTTTTTAAATATTCATAATGATTGTTGTTTGATTTTGTTTTATCTTCCCCTTTTTATTGATGTTTTTTCTCTTCTACTCTTTGTATAGGCGTATCTTCTCATATGTTTATAATTTATTGTTTTTTTTTTTTTTTAGATTAAAGCTTAACTTGCAACATTTCTCTATCAAATTTTTATTAATTTATTATACAAAAAGTTTATACATATTTCTCAAATACCTGGAAGCATTTTAATTTCTGCATTTATGTTTGTATTGTGTCCAGTCTGACCCCTTAATGAAGGTTATTATGTGTGTGTTATAGATCATAACTTGATGTTGTGATGCTGCGTTTGTTATTATTAAAAACAAGGTGTGTTTAACAATTCCTATATTGTTTTTTTAGAGTTTCACACATATTAATTACCTGGCTTTTTAACTAGTTTATTTATTTTATTGTTTAAAATGTAAAGTAGTACATCATTATTGTTTTGTTTATATTGTTTAAAATAGCAAATGATTTTTGTTTGCATTTTATTTTAATTTGCAAATTAATCAAGGTTTTGTTGTGAATTAGTCAAGGGTCTTCTTTGCATCCATTTAAATATCAAACAAATAACGGTAGACATTTTTTAAAAAATTAAATTGAATTATGCAGTTAATCGCTATACATTTTTGGAATAATTTTTATTGGATTTTTACATAAAAGATTTTTGTAAAAGTATGTATTCGATTAGATGATGAAAGTAGTTTAATGAATTTTCTTTTAAATACTTTATTTTGGATGAGTAATTTATAGAAGACTTGTTTTTTGATGAGTTTTCCATGGAAAACTTGGTTTTTGATAAGTTTTGTATAGATAACTCGATGTGTTTTCAGAAAAACTTGATCTTTGTAAGGTTTTTGAAAATTTCGAAAAGTTTTTATAAAGAAAACTTGATGTTTGATGAGTTTTGCAGAGATCATTTTGATATTAGATGAGTTTTCTATGAAAAACTTGATCTTCTATATGTTTTCT